ACAGGAATTTTTGTTTTTTTTTTGAAGAACCGTATTTTTTTAAGTTTTATGCTTTCTGTAAAAACGGGTTTTTCTCGGTTACTAATGAAGTCGATTTTGCAAACCTGGGGCGCTATTTCACTGTATATAAGTGATTAGTATTTTCTTTAGGGTGAATTATACCGGAGTTAATGTATCCTTGTGAATCGCCGCGCAGCCCTTGGGTTTTTGCAAAATAAGCCTCCTGGCACTAAAAAATTTCATTTTTCAATAATATATTAAATGAAAAATATATTTTTAGCTTATAGCAACAGATCTGAGCACGTATGGTACGAGCTACAATGGTGGGCCGTTGGTGGTAGAAAAGAAGAAAGAGTTGAAGTCCGGTACCACTTTACAAGTAAGTTTTTTGGGATTTCTTTTTGACTGGTTTTCGGTGGTTTTTGAATTTACTATAATGACAGTGCAGCAGAACGCGATTTTGCCTGTATGTGTGTGTGTGTGTGTGTGTGTGTCTGTGTGTTTGTGTCAGGAAGTTTCAGTGGAAGGTCCAGTGAAGATCCAATCGCTGTAAAAAATATGTCTTGATCTGTAACCTCTGGTGCATGTTTGGGCTAGGTTTTTTGTTTTTTGTTTTTTTTTTTTTTTCTCGCATAAAAACAAAGGATGGAATGAACTGGACATATCATTGTAGTTCCGAAGTACGAGCCTTGCTGTGTTTGATGGAAGTGATAAATCACTTGTACACTCGATTTTCTGTTGATTTTAGATTGGAAGCTCGATTTTCGTGGTCAAAAAATGTGAAGACGATGAAATGTATGGATCGTCCAGCGAAGCGCGCAGCAATTTCCTTGACGTAATTTTGTACACAATGAATTTGTTACTGTTTTACGGGGCTGGAATTGACTGTAAGAGAGAACAGAACTATATTTGATAATGTGGAATTGTCCCAAATTCATCACTAGCATGATATCCCACACAATTGTCTGTGCTGTTTTGGTCTTGATATTATATGAATGAAAGTGTGGTACTTAATGGAAGAAAAAGAACCATTGGCAGGTCCAGAAGGAAGGGTGGGGGGAAGGCAGAGGTCTTTCGTCCCCACAGC